CACGGCATTGCCAAAGGGGGAGATTGCTAGATTTTTATTCTTGGCAATCCCGTTTGACAAAACTCCTTTAAGTTGTATTTGTTTTCGCACTTTTTATTTCTGTGAGGCTATGAGTGTTTAGGTGCAAATCCAACCCGAATTGTGTTTTGCAGAGAAGTTTGTGATGTTAATATTTTCAAGATTGCCACTTCGCTGATTATGACGGGATTGAGCTACCCGGTCAGCTCGCGGGGGTCCAGAGAGTAGCGCCCCTTGGCGGGTCCGGGGTAGCGCCACGGTAGGGTCGAGCGGCAGCGCCCCCGAAGCAAATTGCAAAAATGCATTTCAAGTTGTCTGTCCGCTCGAGCAGACATTCCCCCGCTCGAGCGGAGAATGCTGAGTTCCAGAAGTTTATTCGCCTGCAAAAATACTGAATGTTGTTTTTTCCCACTCGAGCAGCCATTCCGACGCTCGAGCAGAGATCGCAGGACAGTTTTCTATAAATACGTGTTTCAGTCCAAATCTAGGATAACTTCTCCAGATCTTCTTCTTGGGTTCTAGGGTTTATATCTGGGGATATTTTGCCAGTTTTCTTTGATGTTTCATTGAGTATTCAACTCATGGTTTAAGAAGCATATATCAAAGGTTCGTTTGTTCATTCTATACAAAAGAGAGAGTTGTTCTTCGGTGGATTCTGAAGAATTTGAGCCTGAAACTTTGGTGGATTCTGGAGTAGCTCATCGTAAAGACAATTTCGAGGTGAAGACAGGGTTGGAAGAGACACATAGGGGTTGATTCAAATCGGGCGTGGATTCGCTGTGTAATTGAGAGTATACCTGTGTAATTCCTTTATATCTTCTTAGTGGATTGTTTTGTGGCTGTTGCCCGTGGTTTTTCTTATCATAATTGGAGTTGTCCAATTGTGGTTTTTTTACGTAAAATCGTTATGTCGATTTGTCTTGATTGTTTGATTGGGATTGTTATATACTGCTTAAAATTGATACATAATCACAAATCAACATCTAGGGGATTTCTAGATTTTTCAAGGCTTAACCCTCACATTCCAATCTAAACACTGGTACACAGAGATGCCCCCAAAAGTTATGAGTAACAGGATCAAAGTGGTGAGTATCTTTTTTCTAACTCAACCACAATAACTAAAAAGGTTTAAATGGTCAAGTCGAGCTACTCTATTTAAGTACGGGCCCCCAAATTAACAAGATTAAACAAAAATGGTCACATATACCTATAACAAGTCATAAGAACATAATGGTTCTACGAACTTGAACGCCAAACAAGGGTCTCACTACCGTGCTTTACTTTACTCGTATCCCAAATAGATTCAACTACAAGGAAAATAACTTTCAGTTGCCTTACGACCTAATACAAGAGAAAATTTAAACTCCCACAATACATACAACCACTAAGAAACAACTAAATACAAGGGAGTACTCTCTAAGGTTTAATAAACCATCTTGGAATTTAAATCAATTCAACTAGCCCAGTTGTAAAGAAAATAGAACTTAGTTCTCGAAGCTACCCAAATTGCACAGCCATAGTACTAATCCCCATTCCTAACTGCATATGGTCAAAACAACCCAAACTCAGATTACACCGTCGAATCATTACTCCCATTGAGTCATCCCAAACTAGGCAAATCAACTAGGCACAAGATGCTCACAAAAGAAAACATAATCATAGGACAAGACTAGCCCATTCCCATAAAAATAACTTGCCTACCAATATTCTCAATTGCACACAGGGTATACTATCTAAAAATCAATACAAATTTAACACATAATTAGCCTAAAGAAATATTCCCACCTTTAAAAATTAAAGAAAGTTCTCCTTAACCCAAAATTTTACCTTTTTTTTTTATGATAAATAAAGTGAGTTATGGAATTGTCATATATAATTTTTTTTTTTAAATAGTTAAAAGTTATACACATCATAACACTCAATATAACCCTTTACTCACTGACGAGTCCATAACAAAATTTTGATTTCAATAGAATAAGGTCTTACTAAATAAGGGGAAATTACATTCCCAACTATTTTCTCAATCAAGACAAAATTAATGACTCTCAACCGTAATTCAACCAATGACCCCAAATGACCCCATCACCCTCGTTGTGATGTCTCAACTCATCCCCAGTTATTCAAATAATGATAATCTATAACAACTACTAGAGAGTTAAAGAAAATAACAAACGAACTAGACTCATAAACTTGGTAAGTCACATCCCTTCGCAACCGCCACCATAGTCCACCAAGTATACACTACTTATTTCATGTTCACAACACGAATTTCACTTCTAACCCCATTATAGCAATCACACCCAACCGACCTGAGATAAGCATCAAATGCTTAACATAACTAGTCACTTCCGTCAATGACATAAGCGCAAACCAGTAAGTCTCATTGCTATGACTCCCTTCCAAAGTCTCTGGCCTATTTATTTCTATCCAAACTCTAAGGTATAATTGCGAGTTATAATACCACCCACGCTAAGAGGTTTTCTTACTTGAACAATGGCAAGTTCAAAACAATTTCTAAGACTCGTAAAGGATAGCAACATCTTATACAAAATTTTATTTTATTTATTTATTTTTTGACGAGGGATCTACCAAATAATTTCTTTCAGGGTAGCATCACCACAAGTATGATGAAATGAAGAAAAGTAGATTGAGGAATCATCCTCTATCCAAAAAACTTAAACATCTCTTAATCAAAATTACTAGTAATCGTTCAAGGTCAAATGCACCTAACTTAACTCAATGATAATGCCATATCAAAATATTAACTCTAAAATTTCTTACCTCACCCATAATGGTACAAGATTTTCAATATGGAAGGTCCACAACTCTCGCAACAAGGACGCAAGGCAATTCTAAAAATTAAAAGGCAGATAACACAAAACAATCTTCATTTCAATTGTATGAACACATTGACGCCACACATCAAACTTACTTCGACATACTCACGAATACCTCCGAGTCTAAAAGGATCTTAACTTATAACGTAATTATCGAAGTTAACACCAATCATTCTTACTAGGTCAAGATAATTTCTATGAAATTACCCAAGTACGGTAACCATTCGCCAACCTTCCATACTCAGCACCAAGCACTGACAACACCCTAACACTATTCACCCCTACATGGGGTTTTCATACCCTTTCACATATCCCTTGAGTCCCAGTTGGACTTTTCGAGACCGAACTCTACAACTCTCATTCCTAAGTCAAAACATTATGACATTCATGCCTAATTGGAAATCACACATTTCATAAGAAGATCGATAAGATCAAAGATAAACTCACCACTCACCTCAATCCCAACATTTATGGCAATAAGCATAAACACCACTCCAATCACCACATGATACAAATCTCACACTCTCTCTAGGGACATTCTCAATGATGTACCAAGAACTCTCACTACTACAGTAGGACTCCAATAGGTAAACAATAAACTGATAAACAATATAAAACTGAAATTTCCAACCTCGACAACGATTTCTCAAATCACGAAAGTTCATAATACATTATATGTCCATATCATGGAAATAAACATATACATATGATCAGCTAGTCAGGATCTTTAACATTCCATAACATATCAGTTACAGAAATAGGATAACAAAACAAAACCACTCCGTCGATCTCTACCACCATCTCTATCCCTATTTGGACTACTGAGACTGGGTTTTCTTGAACCCTAAGACACCTTCAAGACTTTTACGTCAAGGACAAAGACGACTGATGTACCCTAATGGGCCATACTTGAAGCAAACACATGACTCTCTACCCCGTGACTGAGAAATCAACCCTTGTAAAGGTCTCGAAGCCTGGCATACTTGATTTTGATACTGGCACTATCCCTGATTGGATGGATAGGTTTGAGTCTAACTGGGTTCTGAAACACTCCAAAACATTACATGACGAGGTCAAAAATGCCTAATTTGGTCTGACTAGCTACACTTAGAGCAAATAGGTGGTCCCCTATTAAGTGGTTGGTTTGAAATCTGATTAAGTAATAGTTCTAGCAGCTACTCCCCCTGTGAACACCCGACCGCCTTGAGCCTTAATAGACTAGATGGTTCTAGTGGCACAAATGTTGGTTGGGTCTACAATCTTGCCTTTCTCCTCTGCCGCTCACTAGGTCTATTGAACTGTGGCATTCTTTTTATTCCAATCTATGTCCACAACCATAGCCTTTACGTGGGTTACCGCCTCTACAAGCATGCGATAACTCCTATGCAAGGATCCGACAACCTTTCCGCATCTATCATCACATAACCTCCTCTCAAACTCATGACAACGAAGTTCCTATGTTGCTATCAACTCCGAAGCAAAACGCGACAGATCAATAACTTTGTCTCAAACTATACCAAAGGTGTGGTACCTTGGCGCAACTTAACAAATTGTTTCCTCTAATCGTTCCCATGCGGAAGGAAGAGAATATCCATCCTCTCATCTAGACATCCTAACCAATAAAAAGCGCAACCAATTAATACAAAGTAAACTTGTTCATAATTGAGTCCCACAAATCAATAAGGCAAATAGCACGAAATTGCATTCCACACAAGCAATTAGTCTCTCAAGATAGAATTGGTTCCACGAACCTCCAAGAATTCCTATTATAATGAGTATTGGTCAGGTGCCTTTCTAATAACATTTCAAGGGATTTAATAGACACCAATAACATCCTAAAAGTTTGATCCCATACATACTTAGTCACATAAGGATGTTATCACATAACATAGAATATGAAACATTCCCTAATCAGCTAAATGAACACATTGTGGTAATAACCACTTCTAGTGAGCCCTAAGTTATAAACATCTGATAACTCTAATTAACTCATCAATAATCCTCAATCCCTATTAATTATGAATCATTTATAATTCAAAAATCATATATGTATATTGAAGACATTTATTCTAGAAATATAAAGGTTTCGCACGCCTTTAAACATTCATAACTTCTAAGACAATAATTTACAGCATATAATGAGGATTCAACAGAAATTAAAATACAAAATAATGCCCTAACGGGCCACATGTTCCCGAGGCTTAAGCCCGGTTACAGATCAATAGTTTTCTAACCTATACAAATATAGCCCTTGGCTTATCAAAATAGAACAACAAAAGATAAAAGCCTCGTGCTCCCAAAACAATTCTATACATCTCTACCTCGGCAAGTTCACAACATTTTTTCCTGCAATAATTTCACTATGGGTGAGCACAAAACCTAGTAAAAAATTCTTAACAAAGTATATACATTTTATACAATCTTATAAGATGGATGTACATGCCAGGCCATGTTCAAAACAATTTTTCTCTTCTAAAAAAAAATATCCTCATGCACAATGGTCGTTCGAAAACATAATCAATCTAATGAGCTCAAAATAATCATGGGATAGTAAATATGACTCAGGTAAGTTTGCAAATAGGCATATCAAGCACTACCAAATCTTACATTACCGGCGAAGCCCTAAGCACCAACACGTGGGAGTTTCTAGTCTTTCACCAGGGATCTCAAGCCAACTTAATTCTCAATCTACACCCCCTAACTAGATTTCCCACTGTATTTACTCCAAAACTATTCAATAACAACATTTGTTCCACAAAACCATTTTTGTTTCAAAAGTGATCTTAACAATACCAGCTCAAAAGAAGAAAAAAAAAATTATAATGAAATGGAATGCCAATGCAATATATATCTATGTTAATGCCTTGGACTTTCTTAAATATCTCATTTCATTCACACAATCTTCTATTGTAATCAAATTCTATATCTCTACTCAATATATATTCCAAGAGGGAGATAAAAACACATCATCAAATGCATTTCTTTTCTCTTTGAATCAAAGAAATCTCAACATAGTAATCATCATTACCAATTTTAATCTTTTCAAGATAAATTTAACAATATACTATTCACTATTTTCTCAATATCAATTTCTCTTTTACATGGAATTTCAACAATACGGATGAATATATCAATCTCCCCATCATTTCTCAAAAATGAATATCAACAATTCATGATGTCACAAAATCCCAACTTTTCTCCAAATTTTCAAAATCTAGGATTTTCACAAAAAACAAAACAAAAAAAAAAACAAAAAATAAATAAAAAATAAATAGTGTTTCTCATTTTGAAAGATTTTACGCAATTAGAAACCCCAACCAACTCATATTTTTCATCAATACAACATTTTTCTCAACTTCCTCAAGCTTAGGATTTTCACAAAATTAGGGTTTCCTATTGTTTGAAAAGATTTTTGCTCATGAAACTCCCAAAACATTCATATAGTTCATAAATTAAAAGATTTTGTAAAAGATTTGAGAAAAACTATCTTTGAACAAAACACAATTTTATAAAAATCAAACCCCAACTCAATACACTCCAAATAACATCAAAATAACCATAGACTTGCAAAAATGTATATATAACTAAAGAAAATCCTTACCTCAAACCCAAGAAAAGAGACGAATGAAAAGCCCTAAAAATTGACTTCATCGGAATACGATCTCCACTGTACAAAATGAAGCTATTGATGAGCTCTCCAAAAATGCCTCAAGGACACCTATCTAAATCTTCATAGTTTTTAAGAAATCTAAGAGAGAAGTTGAAAGTGGTTGTGTTTGTGTTTGTAAAGAGGGATGAGAGAAAGGATGAGTATAGAGAGGGAGATGAATGAGAAAAGTGATGAGAGAGGGAGATGAAATCAGATTTTATAAAAGGTGGTCTGAAATTCAAAGTTGAATAAGACATTTCTGCACATGCCGGCCCTTGGCTGAACGTGCGACGCTCTCCCCGCATGTGCCCTCTGTATGTGCTTTTATTCCAGAATGCAACCCAGGAAACCAAGCCTTCCCTGCACGTGCAGTTTTGTTTATCAGATCAGTTTACTAAACTCAACTAAATATTCCTCCACCCCGATTCTACCTCCGCACCCTAAACAAGAAATTCTTGAACTCGGAGTAAGTTAGGGTGAACACACAAGAAGATTTTTGAAAAGTGGTGCACTCTCACGGTCTTCAAGGCCTCGAATAGATGTACAAATTAAACAAGGAAATCAGGTTGTGTACCTATGACATTATATTCAAAACCAAAATGATTACTATTTGGACTTCTAAATCTACACGTAATACATCAAAAAATTAATAGTGACTTAAAAATTAGAATCCAGCTATATGTAGTCTGCAATGTTCTTACAAACGATAATAATATTTGACTTTAGCAATCACATCTCACTAAAGAAAAATTTTAAAAAAAAAAAACAAATAAATAAAAATAACATATAATCAACAAGAAATTTTTTTCCCCTAAATGTTCATTCTCTTAAATGTTACGAAAATGTAGGAAAAATAATTCTTTGCGGTGTTTTATTAAAAATAAGATTGAATTGTTCTAATAAAAAATTGATAGGACTTGCTGTTTTTTCTTTAAAGAAAAATGGTATTAATTGATTATTTTCCCTATTAGATTTCAAATTTTATAGAAAATTGAAATAATATTTCAAATGTTTTTAAATATAAAATATATGAATCCATTTTTTGTTTTTTTAAACGCAAGGACTTGATGGATTAAGAATATTTTTTTATAAGATATCATCTTCTACAACTCCATATCTTCATTTAGGGTCTAGTCCACCCAATCCAGCTTGATGTTTTTAGAGTTTGAGAAATAATGAAAGCACAGACACCAACAGCATTTTTCTGTATGATCTGCAAAACCAATGCCCATCACCCAAAGGAAACCAAATTTAAGAGAGAGAGAGAGATCACTTGCTATACCATACCTATTCTTGTTGAATTTCACCTTTGAGGCTAAAGACAAAAAAAACAAGGTTGCATTCGCTATAAACCTGAGCAATTTCCTATAAACCCATGGGTGGCCTTGTGGTAAGAATATGGGAATTAAGTCTCCAGGTCATGAGTTCAAATTCCTCTTGGGCCAATCTCTTAGGCGTAGCACAGTTGGTTAGGAGGTTGGTACTCAAGTTGTCTAACCAGCACTTGGTGTGGATTCAATGCTTCCCCGTTGTGCGAGTCTTGACTTAAGCAGAGCTTGTCTTGGGAGGTCAGGGCAAATTCCTAGGTTATAGTCTCCTCGCTCGGAACGGCTAACAGGACACCTTGGTGATCTCTACAAAGGGGCGCTACCTTGGACCTGCGGGTGAATAGGGAGGATTTTCCTAAAAAAAAAAAAAAAAAAACTGAGCAATTTTAAATTCTATATGCACCAATTAATATACTAATTCGTATATTAATTGATGATGTGGCACAATTTAAGAGATTTTTAATATTTGTAATGTGATTAATGAGTGGAGTCAATAATAATATCATAACTAGTGTTGGTATACTAGTTAATACACTAATTGATATATGTAACACTACTGATCCATTTATACTTGCAAATACTCGTCCCTTGTTTTTTTTATTTATTTATTTATAGGTTAAGGCCTCGTTTGGGAAAATGTTTTTTTAGTAACTTTTTAACTTTTTAGTTAAAATATGATGTAAAAAAAATTGTATGTTTGAGATGTCTTTTTAATTTTTTACGAAAAGATGTGTAGAAAGTAGAGATAAAAGGAAATCTTTGACTTTTTAATATAAATTATTGACTTTTTAATTTTTTTAATAATTTTTTAACTTTTTAACTCAAAAAATCACTTGCTAAACTAGACCTAAGGCTTCGTTTGGGAACATGCTATTTTAATAATTTTTTGAATTTTTACGAAAAGATGTGTAGAAAAATAAAGAAATGATGTGATAATTTTTAATAATTTTTTAACTTTTTGACTAAAATAGCCACTCCCCAAACGAGGCCTAAGTATTATATTAAAATGATTCCAAAAGGGGCACAACCTTTCCCCCAAAAAAACTATGCTGGATGAAAAAGGTTCAACACCAAAATCGAGATCTCCTATAAAATCTACAAGAGCAAAAGATGTTTCACAAAATAAATAGGGCTATGCTAGAGAGCTCTAATTAGAGCTGCTTAAAAGCAGCTCTAATGAGCTGTCACTCTTAGAAAAAAAACATAAAAATAGAGGGAGGTAAAAAACAAAATAGGAGGGGAAAAAAACAAATTAATGCCTTTTTAGAGCTCTAATTTTAGAGGTCTCACTCATTTCTGAAATAAATATGCATTTGGTTTGAGTTTTTTAAATTAAAATTTTTAAAAATTGAATTTTTTATTTTTTTGTATTTTTTTAGTAAATATTTTTAAATTTTTTTTTTTACTTTTTTAAATGCATCTTACTTAGATATATCTAAAAAATAAAAAATTTATGAAAAAATATTTTAAAAAATTAATAAATACATAAAAATATAAAAAATATATTGAATTCTCGTATTTTTTTTATATATATTTTTGGTATTTAGTGAATTTTTAAAAGGTTTTTTTCACAAATTTTTTACTTTTTAACTATATTTATGTTAGGTATGTCTAAAAATTTTAAAAAATTATTTAAAATATTAAAAAAATTTAGTAAAAACAAAAAAATGAAAAATAAGAAAGTAGAATTTTCTGAAAAGTATTTTTGAAAAACTCTAACCAAGAAAAATGATAATCAAAAGCTAATCAGCCTCCGTTTGGGAAGTGGGTTGGCTTTTTAATTTTTTCACTTTTTTGGCTATTTTAGCCTGGGTTAAAAAGCTTGGTTTGGGAATGGCATTTTGACTTTTTTGACTTTTTTTGTGAGAGAAGAGTGTAATGATTATGGGTTGGATGTGATGTTTTGTTTGTTATGGCTAAAATAGTCTATTTTGTTTTTTGTGACTATTTTAGCCCTAAAACCAGTTTGATTGGTTTTAATTTTTTAAATCGAAATTTTTTATTTTTAGTATTTTTTTATTTTCACTGAATTTTTTTAACGTTTTAAACAATTTCTTTTTTTAATTTTTAAATACACCTAACATAAATAGACTTAAAAAATATAATATTTGTAAAAAAAAAAAATTAAAAATTCACCAAATAAAAAAAATACAAAAAAAATACAAAAATTTAATATATTTTTTGTATTCTTATGTATTTATTACGTTTTTAAAATATTTTTTTATAAATATTTTACTTTTTAAATACATCAACGTAAGTTACATATAAAAAAGTAAAAAAATTACTTAAAAATTTAAAAATATTCCCTAAAAAATAAAATTAAAAAAAAAATCCTTAATTTTAAAAAAATTAAAACTAAACATAGTGGATAGGATCTCGATGAGAACCTTATTTCCAAGCCTTCACCTCACCGTATCCTCTCCTCCCTATTCAACGGGGATCAAAGAACTCAACCAAGGCCTCCAATTCCTATTGTTGCAAGGATTTGATGTGCCCAAAACAAAAAATAGCCTTCTTATTATATAGATCCACGAAAGGCCACCAGTTAAACGAACATCTCAACTATTGAGGGCAAAAGGAAACCAAGTTCCAGAATCAAGGATTAAAAAATCAAATCAAGTTCCCACATACATAAACCTTTCTTTCTATAGTAGATTTGGTGAAGTAAGCCCTGTGATAGGTAGAATCCTCGCGTTGGAGCCATTATATTCAAATCAGCCCAGACAAAAAGTTTCATATGGGAAACTTCTGTGGACGGTGTGGCTAAATTTGTGATTTATCAATTCACACGATCTACTCCTCCTCCAACACAGTGGGTGTTTGGAAAGTTGTTATTTTAGTAGATTTTTTTAATTTTTAATTGTTTTAAGAGGTTAAAATTTTTGTGTTTAGAAAGATAGTTAGATTTTTTCTGTAGTTAGATGTGATATTTGTGAGAGAAAAGTGAAATGATTATGAATTTGATGTGATATTTTGTCTGAATTTGTTTTGTTTTTTTGGTTTTTTAATCAAATTTGTCTTTGTGTGTTTTTTTAGCAAAAAAAAAAAACTTCCCAAACATCACGTTATTCTGAAAATTTGGTAAAAAATTAATTTTTTGAGCTTTTTTTAAAAAAAAATTTAGCTTTTTTTGTGTTAAAAAAACTGATTTTTTTTGTATAAATAATTAAAAAGTCAAAAAATTTGACTTTTTTTTTTTTTTTTTTTTTTTTTGAAACTTCCCAAATTGTCCCGTAACGTTTAAAGTCTAATCTCAAGGTGATTCTGAGCGCATTTTTTCCAATTCATATCTTATGTTAACCACTGTCTAATTCCTGTCAACTATGTTAGCTGGACTCGGATACGAGTAGGGATGGCAATTTAAAATTTGTCCGATGGGACCCGACCTTTCGACTCCGAATTAAGTAGATTTTCTTCGAAAAATACTCCCGACGGGATGGGGATGGTATTTAAAAATTAATCCCTGAACAGATTCGAGCCAGGGACAGGGATCAGTGTCCCAGCCCCGTACCCGGCCCGGCCCCGTCCCCGTCCCCGATCCCCGGCCCGGTTTATCCCCGATGTTAAATTACAATTTTACCCTTATATATATATATATAAGCCACTGACTTCACTTTCTAAATATATAAATATAAATATATATATATATAAAGCACTCACTTCACTTTCTAAATATATATATATAAAGCACTCACTTCAATTCACCCCAGATTATTCAATTCACCTTCACTTTGTCAGTCAGATTATTTTGAAACCCTCGTCTCTCGATTAGACTCTCCGTAATATATAGATCTGTCTCCTCTCCTCTCCAGTATTATTCAATTCACCCTCAAATCTCATCTCTCTCACACTCTCGCACATCTCCTCATTCTTAGCGGTGCCACCACGCCACTGTCCAAGACGCCGGAGTCGCCGTATAGCTCGCACCGCCGCTTCACTCTCACGTCTCTCTTCCACCTCTGTCCACCCACGTCCGCCTCCTCCATCATCCATCATCGCCGCCGATCTCCTTCTTCGTTCGTCAGTCACCAAACTAGATCTGAGATCTGTCGTCCTCTCTCTCTATGTGACAGAGATCTGAGATCTGTTGTATCAGATTTTGTTAACTGAGATCTCAATGTTGTTGATGATTTTGATAATCTCATAAATCTGATAATGTTGTTGATGATTTTGATGATTTCTTCGTTTAATCTCATGCTCTCTTTAAAAATTGTTGATGATTTTGTTAGCTGATGATCTATGTTGATGTTGATGCTGATTTTGTTTTTGTTTGTTTTTTGTATTTTTTTTTTGGCCGGGGAAATATCGGGGTCGGGGAAACCCGATCCCCGTTAGGGGACGGGGATGGGGACGGTAATAACTTTCCCGTCAGGGATCGGGGCCGGGGACGGGGGGTTTTTGCCATCGGAGATTGGGGACGGGGAGTGCAATCCCCGGTCCCGCCCCGCCCCGTTGCCATTTCTAGATACGAGTGTTAAGTGCCGATATATATCTAGAGGTTGAAATAATCAAATCATAAATTTAACGGTACACGGACTTAACAAATAAATATCATATTTTTATATTTTTAATCAAATATATAAGATAAAATGATACTATATGTAACTTACAATGTCAAAAAAAATATTTATAAATAAAAAAAAGTGCTGACCAATAGGGAGCCAGTGGGGGTTGTGGGAGTCTCAATCACTGCCGTTTTACAATAATATGTACATATAATAATAGTATTATATACAATTATATAACAAGTATCCGTTGAAAAGTATCCGATATATATTTCATACCTTTATCTGAATGTCGGGTATCCGATACGAGTATTTGATTTATTTTAAAGAGTGTCTGTAACATAGCCTGTCACTACATAGTAAAGATGAATCACAATGTAGCTTGATAGAATAGTTTCGTTTTTGTGTCTTTCTAGTCCCAGAAAGCCAATTCTGGTTGGCCTGTTTTATCAGAGTTTTACATGTCATGCACAGATGATACTTAATAGAATATAAGAAGCATGCACTTACGACAACGATAAAGTAAGAATGAATCACACAACTGAAAAGATAACACTTCACTCAAAGCAATTAAAAAAATAATAAGTCGACCTACAGTAAATTGTGTCCGTTTCAACTCTAAACCAAATGACAAATATATGCAATTCTATGAGAGAATGAGGGCTGTAATCAGGACATAAATGCCAAATATTGATACATTACATGCAATTATATGCAATTCTATGAGATAACAAAGGTTTAAATCAGGACATAAATGCCAAACACAATGAGAATAATGCAATATTTTACAGAGAAACAAATCACAATAACTATACTCCCTAAACTTCCAAGGGCTGAAAGCGGGCAGCTTCATCATGAGAAGAAGATTCAGACTTAAATTTGAGAAGCCGTAAACTCTGGCAATCCATTTCCCTCAGCTTCAGAAGCAAAAACAACAAAATGCCACACCCAAATCCCAAAGCAGCACTAGACCCAGTGAGTGACACAGCAGCACATACCAACATCACAAAAGACTCTTCCTTTGTATTCATATCTCTTGAAGCCATAGCCAACTCAATCCCAGCAAAAAGCAAAAGCACCCCAAGAATCCCAATTGGAAACTGACCCAAAATTCTCCCAAACGAGTTCCCCAAAACAAGCCCAATTACAAGCTTCGCAACCCCCAAAAACACCACAGACGCCCCGCTCCGTCCACCGAACCGGTACTGCCCTGCCAACCCCCCAGCACCGTGGCAAACCGGCATTGCCCCGAACCAACACCCAACTAAATTCATCACTCCAACGCTCACCGAAACGGTCGTGGCCGACACTTCTCGGTCAGGAAACAAATCAGCAGACAATTTACACACAGCAATCACAGAATTCAATACAGACAATGGGATCTGCGGAATCGCAGCTCTAAAGAATCCAATCTTCCAATCCTCCCAACTAATTTTCACCAATTGTATCTTAGACGGACCCAATTGAAGGTCCTTGAAAATTGAAGGGTCTCGAAGAAAACACAAGGCCAACCCAAACAAAAACACAATAAGAGCACCCGGAATGGCATACAGAACCCTTAATCTACGACGAACTCGGCGTTGAGATTGAGATTCAGATTGAATCAAGGAAGGGTTCGATTGTTCATCATCAACAGAATCGCCTGACCCAGTACAAAGTACAAGAAAAAAGAGAGAAAAAAGTGCAACAACAAGGCCATCGAGGCCGAGAAAGTCTCGGGGAGAACCAGACTTACCGGAGGCAAAATCTTGGTTGAAGCGGACGTACTTGATGGCGGAGAAAGCGAAGGAGAGGCCTTGGGAGAGCTGGACACCGCGGACGACGGGGAGGGGGATGAAGCGGTAGAAGAAGGACATGAGGCCGGTGGCACCGAGGAGGAGGAGCACGGAGGCGGTGGAGATTCCGGCGGCGGCGATTTGGGGGATAGTGAGGTGAGGGGATTCGGAGATGGCGACGGCGGCGATGGATTTCATGGGTTGGACGGGCATGGGGGTGCCGAAGAGGAGGCCGGTGGAGATGTTGTAGAGGGAGGTGAAGATGAGAGTGGTGGAGAGGTCGAGGTGGGAGACTAGGGTTAGGGCTAGGACTATGGGGATGTACGTGCCGAGGTCGCCGACGGAGCCCCCGAGTTCGGACCAGATCGTGGTTTTGAGGCGGAGGTTGGTGGCGCATGGGAGAGTAGTGAGGCGGTGGCGCCACCGTGGAAGGCCGAGGAGAGGGGTGGTTTGGGTCGATGATTGTTGCTCCTCTTCCTCCTCCATCCCTCTCTCCGATTCAATTTGCAATCTGAAATGAGGAGAGAGAGAGAGAGAGAGACAGAGAGAGAGTGTTATCAGTGAGGGGACCAAGTTGATTAACCAACCCAGCGAGGCCTCCAGGTTGATTAACCAACCCTTCATATCACACTCATATCACACTATCCTCCTCTGTTCTATGGGGTATTTTGGGAAAGAAAAAAAAAAAAATCAACTTCTAGTTTTTTTATTTATTTTTAAGTGATATCACTTTTCATATTTAAATAATGTTATATATATTAATTAATGTATTAATTAATATATTAATTAATAATAATGATTTAATTTTGACTATTCTAGCCACAAAAAACAAAATAGGCTATTTTAGGCATAATAAACAAAACATCACATCCAACCTATAATCATTACATTCTTCTCTCACAAAAAAAAGTCAAAAAAGCCAAAAAGCCCTTCCCAAACCAAGCTTTTTAGCCCAGACTAAAATAGCCAAAAAAGTCAAAAAGCCAAAAAATCAACCCACTTCCCAAACGGAGGCATATTAATTGATGTATTAATTAATATATTAATTAATAATATAATTTAATTTAAGAAGTTTTTATAATTTGTATAATGAATGGGGTCAATAATAATATCATAACTAGTGTTGATACAGTAATTAGCACCACCGCTCATATATTTTACTTAAAAAAAGACAAAATATACTAAAAAACTTAAAAAGTTAGGTTGCGTTTGGTAAAACTTTTAAATATGATTTGAAAATATGAGTTGTATTTTGAGTTTGTGAGTTTTGAAATTATGATTTGAGTGTAAAAAATTTGTTTGGTAAAAGAGTTTTGAAAAGAACTTTGAATTGAATAGGAAATTTTTGATGTGACATATGATATTTGATACAGGAACTTACAACTCATAACTAAACATACAACTCAAAATTCTATTAAAGCATATAATTTTTTTTTAATAATTCGAAAAATATTTTTTTCGAATATATAAAAATAAACATATGTCAATTGCAAAATATATAAAAATTAACATATATCAATTGAAAAAAAAATAAAATTCTACTGTTCCGGTCAACCGGCTGGATGACCCGTGGGACGTCTGGTAGGACGACCTGTTAGGCCAAATTTGAAAAAAAAAAAAAATTGAAAACGCGCCCTACACAAAGTTTTCTATAGAGTTGTGGAAATGTGATTTGAGAATTCATTCCAAACATCATATTGAAATATGGGTGTAGAATCATTGTTTGGAAACACAACCAAACACAGCATTAATTTTTTATCAAATTTTCAAAACATCATTATATTTCATTTCAGGTTTTGATCCACAATGATAATATCTTGTAAATTGTATAATGAAAAATATTCATCGATAAATAAATAAATAAATAAATTATATTTTATTTTATAAAATAAAGTGATTTAATTTTAAATTTATAATTATTATTTATTTTAAAAATAAAATATATATTATTCATATGTGTAGTAATATTTAACAAATTAATATTTTATATTAATTTTTATTATTAAACTTTATAAAATAAATAATTTTCTTTATTATTATGGACTGAAATGAAATTTATAAAATAAAATATGATAAAATATAAAAGATGGTGGTATTGAGAAATCCATTCCCGGTGATTAATGTTTTCTTGCGCTGGCTATAGGCTGTGAGTTTTGTTTTGTTTTTAGGTTGGCCTGCCCGAGCCAATAATTGCACAGGAACAACTTCGTGAAATGACAAAAATGTTTTTAACATTATTATGGTTGTTTGTTTAGATGTAAAATACTTTTATTTTTTAGTGTTTAGTTGATATTTAAAATAATTATTTATTTATTTATTGTATTCGTTGGATAGAAAGGTAATGAAGAGCCATATTTTTCACATTTGGAAAGATTAATGTACTAAAAGAGCTAAGGTGAAAGTGAACTTCTTAAAAATTAATTTACCAAATTTTTAATGGTAAATCATTTTAAGAACTAGTTTTTGTTCAATTAAATAATAAAAAAAATATGAAAAATAAAACTACTTTACATCAAAATAAAAGTAAATATAATAAAAAAATGTAATTTTTTAAAAATTTACTTAACATATATTCTCAAGAAAGGGCCCACATTAATAAGATTTTTAAACAAATGAGTTATGATATTTATCATTATTGGGTGGGGGTGATTTCCGCACTATGAAGAAGGGTTGAACTTCGTGGATGAACAGCAGGCTTTGGGAATTGAAGATCTGCACGGAATAACAAACGGTGAGGCTGCCCGACCGGGGTTTGGTCGGAAACCCCTCCGATGGTAAAGTCAGCAACTCAGGGAGAGGAAGAAGAGAGAATGCAGAGAGTGTATATGTGTTAAGTGTGTGGATTTTCGGATCCATTGAGAGTGAATAGTGTTCACCTTTTATAGGAGAAGGTTGTTTGTCGTTCAAGTCCTTCTCTCTCCGCCATCTGTCCAATGTGTTTTGTTCGTGGTCTTCTCCCATTGGAGGAAGACGACCACTCCGCCTGACACTAGGGTGCAAGTCTGTTTTGTTTGTCTCATTAGCGGACATCTCTCATTAGAGGAGGACGACCACTCCGCCTGTCATTCAGATGCAGGTCTGTCATATATGCACCTTGTCCCTCTGCACCTCCATGTCTCCACGTTTTGTTCATACAGAGGGAGAGGAGCAGAGTTGTTTGTCTCTTGTGCGTCCAAGAGAGATCTTCAGTGAATTGGCCTTCTTTGAGTTGGCCTACTCTGGAATGGTTGTCCAACCAAGAGGTCCAACATGTTGCTCAGCCCACTTCAGAGTGGTTGTCTGTCCATCCAGGAGGTTCAACATGTTACTCAACCTACTTCGGAGTGGTTGGCTGCCCGTCTAGGAGGTCCACCATGTTGCTCAACCCACTTTGGAGTGAAATTCGTACATTGGGCCGAGCTCCTATGATTGTCTTGCTTCGGAGCAAGTGTTGGCCATAGGGCCGAGGTCCAACCTAGCTCAACCTCGGAGTGAGCATCGCATTGGGCCTAGCAATAAGACTTGATTAATTTTTACCCACTTCATTTGCCCCCTGGCTTGCACTTACGTTTGGCGAAGCGGAAGCCAATTATGTCACAAACTTCGAAGTTTGGTTGATCACAACTTAATTTGAGCTTCGTGAGTTGGATTCAAAATTATTGTTTGGCATAACGTTTGCGTCTGCCCAATATTTCGTAGCTCGGTTATGCCCCCAAACTAAATGTATATCTTCACTAGCCTCGTAATTGTCTAGCTTGGTGCTCTTTCAGTCAGCTGAGCGTCGTTGCTTGACTTGAAAAAATATATACAGAATAGTATATATATATATATATATTTTTTTTTTGCAGTGTTCGTCGACTGGGCCTAGCAACACAGCGACCCTTCAAAACAGGCCAAGTGTGCTTTATCACAGCTTTGTTCTAATTTGAAAGACTTATTCGCTATCTTTTTGCTCGGTCCTACTTGTAGGAGATAAATTGGTGTTGGTCTCAATGCTTGGTCGGCCAAGTCTTGCCCCTCCACTCTGTTCGGTTTCGAAGCATAGCTTGCTAACATTGCTCGGTCATGCGGATCATGCACCATTTTCTTGTTTGGACATGATTAGCACGTCTATTTGTTCAGCTTGTTTCTTCATATATTGGTCGGTCATTTTACCTTCAGCTTAAGAATTGTCCGTCACTTAGTTAGTCGGCCGTAGCAGCTTGTTTGCATAGTTTTTGTTTTTTAACACCGAGTTGCTTGGTCGGCCCTAGCAGCTTTGGCATTGCGAGTTTGCATTTTTTAATTCGGTTTCTCTACCACCAAGCTACTGTCAACCTTAGCACCTCTTATCTTGAGAATTGTCTAGCACATAGTTGTTATAGTCTTGGTATCGACTTTGATAATATTGACTCTCGTCGGGCACTGCACTCCTTCGACCTTTGCTTGTTGTTTGTAGTGTATTTATTTGGTAGAATGTTGCACTTCTAACTTTGTTTGTTGTCAATCTTTTGGTTGTTTACTCGAGCTATGAAACTTGGTTTTGCTTAGCTAGTTTTGACCCGCTTACTTTGCTCAGTCCATTTTGGAGTGGATGTTAGGTGTCCAATCAGCCACTGTTGCTTGGTCCACTTCGGAGTGAGCATTGAGTGTCTGCCAACTTTCATTGCTCAGTCTTTGTTGCTCGGCCTAGGCATTGGGTGTTTGACCAACTTCTGCTGCTCGGTCCAGTCGTTGGGTGTCCGACCAACTTTTGTTGCTCGGCCCAAGCGTTGGGCGTATCACCAACTTCTGCTACTTAGCCCAGGCATTGGGCGTCCGATCAACTTTTGTTGCTTGGCCCAAGCGTCGGGCATCCAACCAACTTCTATTGCTCGGCCTAAGCATTGGGCATCCAACCAACTTTTGTTGCTTGGTCCACTTCAAAGTGAGCATTATATGTCCAACCAACTTTCGTTGCTCAGCCCACTTTGGAATGGGTGTTAGGCGTCCAATTAACATCTATTGCTTGGCGCGCTTAAGAGTAGGCGTTGGACATCCAACCAACTGCTGTTGCTCGGTCGAAGCGTTGGGCGTCTGACCAACTTCTATTGCTCGGCCTAGGCATTGGGTGTCCGAACAACTTTTGTTGCTCGACCCACTTCAAAATGGGTGTTGGGCATCCAATTAACTTCTGTTGCTCAGCCCAAGCTTTAGGCGTCTAACTAACTTCTATTGCTCGGCCCAAGCGTTGGGCGTTTGACTAACTTTTGCTGCTCGGCCTACTTCGAAGTGGACGTTCAGAGTCCAACCAACCTCCATTGCTTGGCGCGCTTCAAAGTAGGCGTTGGGCATCTAACCAACCTTTGTTGTTCTGTCCAAGCATTGGACGTCTGACTAACTTTTGTTGCTCGGCCCACTTCGAAGTGGGCATTGAGCGTCCAACCAACCTCTGTTGTTCATCCCTCTTTGTAGCTCTTCCACTTCGTATCACCTTCGTTAGGCTGAGGTCCTTTTGTATTGAAATTTTAAGTTAATAAAGTATCTTCGAAATTTGCCAAGTGTTGGACTTGTAACTCGAACTTTCAATTTCTTCATGTTTATGTTGTCTACCCCCAGCCGAGCAACAAGGATGTAGCCCTACATTGTTCGTTGTTCGGCTAGACTTCGCCTT